CTGTCAGAGCAGCACATTAAGCATTGTAAAATATTTATAGGTAACAAAAGTAATCCGAAGTCCTGGGTTAAAAATAAAAGTCAATTTAATTTTGGTAAACTGTATCATGGACCAATTAAGTGACCCCATAACACAGTAAAAATTAGTGTAGAAATAGAAAACAGAATCCAGACCTTGTGATTCAACATCAAAGACTTTCTCCTCCCTCAGGGAAACACTATGTGGACTGAAGTCTTTGAAAGAAGTAAAAATAACTTTATCCTCAGTATGATTTGGAGGAGATGTGTGATGATCCATTGAAGATTTCAAACAGGATCTTGACACATAGTTTTCAACTGGTAAAAAGCAGCACTTTGGAGAGGGCACTGGAGGGATATCAGTGCAGGGTCAGTGCTCCAGCCACCCCTGGGAGCTGCTGGAGTTCAAAGCAGAGGCAATAAGAGGTGAAGAAGTTTTGTGGATTTGAATCTAGAGAAGTTTGATGCGAAATAAATCCCTGCTGTCCACACAGAACCTGTCTGTTTGGCTTGTTATGGGAAACAACTACCTAGCACAAAGCTCTGGAATTGCCATTCAAAGGTGGTGACCTCCTCTACTGTCCTGCACAGGCTGCCACAATTTAAACCTTAAATGCAGAACTTATGTCTAAAAAAACCCCATCAGAACACCATGTTTCACACTGAGTTCCTTCAGCTTAGATTCAAGAACAGAAGGCTGAGCTGAGAGCCATCACTGGGTTCACTGTGTAGCCACAAACAATTAATTTCCTAGCTTTCATCCAAATTTCCTCATGATCTGAAGTGAGGATAATCAGACAGTCACTAAGGTTGAAAAAAACCTCTAGGATCATCGGGTCCAACCCTCAGCCCACTACCATTGTGTTCAACACTTAAACCATGTCCCCAGGGGCCACACCCACAAACCTTTTGAGCACTTTCAGGGATGGCAATTCCACCACTGCCCTGGGCAGCCTGTGCCAGTGCCTGACCACCCTTTCAATAAAGAAATTTTTCCTGGTATCTAATCTGAACCTTCCCTGGCACAACTAGAGGCTGTTTCCTCTCATCCTGTCCCTTGTTACCTGCGAGCAGAGCCCAACCCCACTCGGCTCCCCCCTCCTGTCAGGGAGTTGTGGAGAGCGAGAAGGTCCCCCTTGAACCCCCTTTTCTCCAGGCTGAGCCCCCTCAGCTGCTCCTCATCAGACTTGTGCTCTAAATCACACTGAAAGCACCAGTTTGACACAGTGAACCAGCACCTAGTGTGAAAACCTTCTGAAAGGCTAAAGGGCAACATCCTTAGAAGCATTTAGGCAGCTAATTCCTGCTGGAATGCATGACCCCTGTGGACATTGGAGTCTGGGTGCCCTGCAGAAACTGGACTGCACTGCTGAGCACAGCTGCTCCAGGCTCCTGCCACACTCCTTTGGAAGCTGCAGGGGTGCCTTGGGGCATCCCAGGGTGACTTCAGGGCAGCTCTGAGCCTGGAGCACAGCACACAGGAGTCAAAACACGGGTCTGAACCAGACCAAAACCCAGGCACCTGCCATAGCAATCACACTTGTGACAACCAAGAGTTTCTCTGCTATGCAACAACAGGTACATCACACAAAGACAACGGGGAAAGAGGAGGAGAGAATATTTAAATGACATTTGCTTGCACTGGAACAAAATCTGTTCAGATGACGAAGCACCAGGTGCCTTGGTTTCGCCACCACTAACCCTGAAACCTTTACCCACGTCTACATTGCTCTGAACAACTCATCAGCTGCAACAGGCACAGATTTTAAGGATACAAATCAAACACGCTTGTCGATGCGTAAACACCCAGTTACACAACGTCATGACTGAAACTGTCCCTTGCCTGGCTAAAAAGCAAAGGTCAAGAATAAGCAAACATGGCAGAACACACACGTCAGCAGATTTATTTATTGCTTGAGCAAAATACCAATGGAGAAAAGCCTCTGTGGGGCTTAGGAAAACCATCGACTCAAATAACCTGCAAATCAGGGCAAACAGCCTGATGTAAGAGAAGTGCTCGGGTTTCTGAGGTGAGAATAACTTCACAGTGTTTGGCTGCATTAACCTTCTCCATCTACTAAACTTATGTTTACAAAAAAACACCAACCAAAACAATCTTTGTGCATTACAGAAAAAACTTTCAGGGATGAGATTTAAATGATTAACGTGAGAACGGGATTACTCCACAAACACAGCTGAAGTGGCACAAATGTGGGCTCAATTTCCATCAGCACCAGAAAAGTGGTGCTAGAAACAGAGCTACCCAAATCCTCCCAGAACAGCCTCCGTATCAGCTGGCAGCAGCTAAAGGAAAACACTTTCCAAATGGGGAAAAAATGGGCCGCTAATTGTAAAGGCACACAGGCAATATTTGAATAGAGATATTAAATCTACTCTTATCACACAGCAAAAGTAACTACATAATTCACAGCTGTGTCAAATCAAAGCTCCACAAAGTGGCTCTGCACTGAGATCCAGAGTTATTACCAGGTTCCAGTCAGAGCTGTGCCAAATTTAGGGGAGAGCTGAGGCTGTCAAATACACACAGACTCAAACTCTGAGGCTCATGTTAAAAACACCATAAAAGCAGAACAAGGACAACTCCAGCAATCACTGTTCACGACCCACGTGAAGACAAAGATACTATTTTAAGGCTATTTCAAGGGTTCACTTGAAAATAATCTGCTGCAAGCAGACAGAAGCTTTGAACTAAAAATTGTGCTGGACCAAGTAAGTCTTTTGATACCAACTGCTTTTACAGACATCACTGTGCCTCCTCCACAAAGACACCAAAGTTAACCTTCTAGCATCAACAACAGATGGCTGCCACTGAAAAATGCCCCCAACAACCCTGTTGAACATTATTTCATCAGCAAAGTATCACCCAGTAACTCCTGTGGAGCCCTGTCCACCACTCCATAGTCCAAGGACAGGGGTTCGCTTACTGGAGACCACTTCTGACTGTGGGGAATGAGGAATTCCCACACAGTGGCTGTGATAACACCCTAAGCCAGCCTCCTGAAGGGAATGCTGCCGGACTAGCAAGCAAACTCACGCTTCTTTTATATCATGGAAACTAGGATTTTTTTTCTCCTACTCTCAACTTGCATTTTTCTAGCTAAAAATTCCTCATTTCCCTTCCAAACCTCAGGACAGCGCTTACTTCCGAAGCCTGTGCAAGTTTAGGTAATAGAGGATATCAGGCTTTTAAAGACAGTTTTAAATCCCTTTATGGGGTAATTAGGTAACAGAAACCAGTGACACCCAAGCTGAACAGCTCTGGCAGGAGCTGGGAACACAATGAGCTGCGCTTGCGTGGGGACTGTCAGTAAGAGCCAGGGAACAAACCTCTGCCCAGCCTGGCTGCATCAAACCTGCACCCCAGCCACAGTTCAGTCCAAAACCAAAACCTGCAAGCAACAGCCAAGTCTACTGCCAAGGGTGTACTTTTAGTTTTAGTAGGATCTAAATACGATCACTCGAAAGTCATAATTTCACATGTGATCACTGTAACACCGCAAAACGTCACCACAGGCAACAAAAGTCAAAATCCAGAAGAAACTCAGTGAACAAACCGGTGCCTTCCACAGCACAGTTCATTCTACGATACAAAACTGCACCTGGATGTTGTATTTTAAGAGCTAAAGAAAGGGACAGAGATGGAAAGCGAGGTAATGGCATGGACTTCCTTTGGGTGTTTTGATCAGTTTTTTGAAAACAACTCATCTTCGAGACAGCACCACAACACACAGAGGAGTTCCTAAGGCCAGAGGCTCGGCCAGCCCAGCTGTCACAGCACATCTCACCGCGGGGCTGCTGCACACACGCTTAGGAAAAAATTCCTGTACGTAACAACTCCTGGAGAAACGACACCACCTCGAACAAGGGCTGCCGGGTCGGCACAACGTGGCACGGGCTGCCCAGGGCGGCTGCGGGGCACCCCAGGTTATGGGGTCACTGAACGCACACTGTCACATCGCAGAGCCCCCGAGGGGCCCTGCGGGCACCGGCACAGCGGCACGGACCGGGCCCCACCGCCCGGGAGAGGAGAGGGAGAGAGGCAGGGGAGGGAAGGGAAGGGGGCACTGCCCACCCCCAGCCCCGCACGCAGCACAGGCCGCGGCCCCCGGGGCTCTCAGGGACCCCCGTCCAGCCCCGGCCCGGCCCGAGGCCGCTGCCGGCAGGACACGGGCACGGCCCCGAGCCCCGCGGGGCTCGCCCAGCCCCCGCTCCCCGGCCCGTCCGCCCCGCGCTCACCCACCGCCGAGCCTGAGGCGCCCCGGGACCGGACCAGCACCGACACTGACACACACCGACACGGCACGGGCAGGCACGGACACACCGACAGACAGACAGACACACAGACCCGGCACTCACCGACACTCACCCGCGGCTGCGCCCGCTCCGCCCCCGCCGCTCCTTCCGGCACCGGCGCCCGCGGCGCGCGCACTCGGCTGAGCTCGGCTCTGCTCGGCTGAGCTCGGCTCTGCTCGGCTGAGCTCGGCTCTGCTCGGCTGAGCTCGGCTCTGCTCGGCTGA